CCCCCCAATCTACTCTGAGATGCTTGGACTGGATTTGTGAGCAGCAGCACAGAGCAGGGATTGGGCTGGGGGGAGGGCAGTTACATCATTTGCTGTGTGCACCTCAGATTACAGCAGAGCCGTTGTGCAACTGACAGTTCACACTGCGTCTGGAGGCAGAGAGAGGCCCAGCTCGTCTTTAAAGTCTGATTCTTATCAGCTTCTTCTGTCTTCCTTTTTCTGTGTTTGTATACATTGTCATCAGTGGCACATCAGCAATGTTAAAATGTACAGTCAATGTCCTCCGCAGCTGGTAAGATGGAGTTGGACGTGTAAGTGAAGTGGGACAGAGATATGCTGCAGTGCTTCACTGTTCTTTGAACATTTTTATAAGTATCATTTGCCAAAATGCCTACCCTGCTTCCTGTCTGCTTGTGCTCAGGTCTACCACAGCGGCATGGGTGGGAGTGGGTGGTCCTGGGCCCACCCATTCAGTGTTCACTCCCAGTAATACACTACAATAAAACAATTGTGTCTGACAGGTCTGTGTGTGTTCTTACAGAGAGAAAGTGCTGTAGAGAGGCTAACAGATTTTTCTTTCTCTTAGTTCATTGGGTCTTAGTAACACCAATGGCTATTTTAAAAACATTAATAAAAAAAGAAAATGTTGTTCAGTCTGTAGTGTGTGTTTGTCACCAAGATAATTGTTATGTGACTGTCTCACCTGATTTTCTGCCAGCCAACCCACGCTATGATTTCTGGCTCTGCTGTTGACTCAGCTTATTCAATAGCAAATTATAGAAAGGATATACTGAGTTATATTACATTAAAATGAAGATTTAATTTTGGAATACAACTGTAACAGTGCCAGCCTGATTGAGCTCAAAGAGATTTTTTTTTTCACTTCTCTGTTCACTTTTATGGCATTATAAAGTTGTCCATTTTGTTACCAATATACACATACAGAGATACAAAATACCACATTTAGCCGACACTGATGTCTTGGTCAGTGTGGTGTGTGGTGGGAGCCGGTCCCAGGCACAAGGCCAGTAAAAGGTACAGAGCAGTCAAAGGCCACACTAGTGAACAGCTTTTACCCCCATGTGGTACCTAGGCTGAACTGGACACTAAAGCACTCTCAATACCCCACACCGCACCACCGTATACTACCTATCCATTTGTACCTTGCGCATACTTATTGATTATTTTGTGTTTTGTACATATTATTAAATGTTATGTCTTGTGTTTTGTTCGCACCACTCGGGAGCTGCAATCCCAAACTTACTGAACTGTCATGTACAGTGACAATGAAGAATAAAATATTGAGTACATCCTGCATAGCATGGGCACTTCCATGCCTACTGTATATGCACCATGCTTACCACTGGCATTTAGACTTATTTGGTTAATGTTATCTAGGTTATTTGGAAGTGTACTTTTGGTACATCAACACCCACAGGACATAAACAATTTCATGCACTGGTCAGACTTCGTTTTGTTCCACTCGTCTTCCAGTTTCTTCTACAGTTCAGTAATTGTAGTGGCTTTGTTTGCCAGAACTTTATCGGTAATTATCTTCCTAAAATTTCTGAGATTTTTTAGGACTCTAGGTCAGCCATTTCATCACCTAGATGTTCTCAGCTTTGAGGAATTGCTTCCCCGGTTTTGCAGTGTGGTAAGAGGCACTGTCTTGGATAAAAATGACTGGCTGACTGGGTGACGCTCGTAGGGAAGGAACCGCATGGTGCTGAAGCAGGTTCTGATACTCATTAGCATTCACCTTCTCAGGTAGCCATATGAGAGGCCTGTGGCAGGGAACACATAAAACACCACGACACTTACCCCTCCCAACTTTACTGACTTCTTCACACACTTTTGGTGGAGTCTTTATCAAATCTAAAGCAGCACATAATATTTCACATATGAACCAACTAAATGAAACTGGCTTTCATCACTGAAATGATCTTTGGATCGGTTCTCCTCACCCTTTTCTTGCATGTGCTGTTCTTGTGTGCTTATCTTGGGTGTGACTGGCCTTTAATTTGGGACATGTATGACTTAATTTCTTTGTGCAGCTTGAATATTTGATAAATTAAGCTTTTGGTAATCACTAACTTCTCTTCAACTGGTTAAAATGGTCATCCTATCACCCTTGTACATTGTAGGGTTTCAGTCACCTTGGAGAGGCCCACCACTGTGCAAAATGCCTAGCAATGTTGCCAAACAGATTGGAGTTGCCAGATATTTCAATATATTTCAGATCAGAATCAAAAACTGTCAAGTATAACAAGTCATTCTCTAATTTTGTTCGCAAACCCAGGATTGCCAAATTTGGCCAGCTGGCTGACGTGAGATTTTCAATTCAATATAAGTCTACACACATTTATATACATGTATTACTTTCTGCATAATCCGAAGGATTTGCAAATTGTCCCAACACTGATGAACTGATTAAATTTTTCACTGATGAAAAATGATTAAGCGACTTTCAAAATGACAAAAATGTCTAGCTCTAATTCTAATCACTTTAGAACACACTGCTCGCCTAATAATTACCCGCCTTGCAGAAGAATAACCCGCATAGTAGTAGCAGCGCGGCTTGACCTTACCATCATGGCTACTGAAGCGGAAGTTGCATCGCTTAGCTTCCGCTTCTGGGAAGAACATGGCGGTAAATGAGAATTTGTCGCGTATTTGCGGACAGAGAAATGATGAAACTGTCGATTTGGAGCGTATGGTGAATCGGTGGAGTTTGGATTACTACTTGTTTTCCGCGCTGCAAGCCTTTAGGGATGGACGGTACGACGACTTCTCTCAAATTAGGGACATTATACAAAGTAAGTTTTAATTACTCGGCCGAGTACACCTGGTGGCTCTGGTGTTTTGAATTCACATGACCGCGGGAAAATGTTAAAGCGACGAATTTCTGTTTTGCTCAGCAACGTGATGATTTAGTTTTTATATGTAAATAGTCGAATAGGCTTCCAACGGATGCCCTGGTACATTGTAATTTAGAATTATAATTTAGAGATCAGTGGTTATTGTTAACATACCACAGCACACAGTGCACAACAACGAAATGTCCTCTGCATTTAACCCATATGTGACATCGTGACATAGCAGGGGGCAGCTAATTCAGCGCCGGGAGAGCAGTGCTTGGGGGTGGTACCTTGCTCAGGGTACCTCAGTGGTGCCTTGCCAGTTGGGGATTCTAACCAGCTATCTTTCAATTACAAGTACGCTTCCCTAACCATTAAGACACTACTGCCACTAAGACACTAAGCAGTGTCGTAGCAAAAGCTGTACAGTACATACAAACACAGCAAGAACCCAATAAGACAGCTATTAAAATCAGAATCAGAAGTACTGCACTAAGGGCTTTCTGAGTATGCAAGAGAACATGACTGTAGTTTAGGGCTTGATACCAGAAAAGATGCCTTTTCAGCAGGACCTTTAAACCCAAAATGTTCCTGGGACAGGCTGATCCTAATCCCTCAGTGGTATGTGGATAAAAGTGTCTGCACCTCCTATTTGGCTCTTACAGTCTTTGGCTAAAGACTGCAGTATCATCCATGTGTACCAGCTATGTGTCTGTTTTGGTGCTCTACAGATTTACTGGTTCGGCCTTTCGAGTTCTCAGACATCGGGAAAAAGAAGATACGTGTCATGCAGTTCCTGTCCCGCATAAACGAAGGAGACAGGCTGGGTGAGAAATTCCTCCTTTTTCCAAACTCATTATCACTACTTTGATAGGGAAATGCTGATGCACAAATATTATTGCAACAATTCAAGCACCACAGTCCAGAATTTTTTGAATAGTCTCCATGTAAATGTGTAAGTGGGGTTAGGCTTGCCCCAGGGCATTTAGTGGAGGAGGAGTGTGTGCTGTTTGCCTAATGAGACCTGAAGGTGCATTCTGTTTGTCCCCAGACTGTATTTTCGACTCTCAGGAGTCCTGCACCCCCCTGGAGTCTGCCTTGTCCGTGTTGGAGTCCATCAGCCAGGAAGTGGAGGTGCCTCAGCAGGAACTGGAGAGAGTCCACAAGTCCATCTGTGAGATGGTGAGATCTGGCCCAGGTTTAGCAGATTGCTGTAGTTGGGGGAGTTGATGTGGCTCCGCACGGTGGTCTGGTGAAGTGAGGAAGAGCATTTCTGTTAGGATGTGTGAGTACAGGCAGTAAATATCAGCTTCGCTGCCACCCTGCATTAGTATAGTTCCATCTTTTTTTTTCTCCTCACGCAGTTATAAATATCAGCTTGCTGAGATTTCTGACGGAGATTAGCAGAATGACATCACACAATTGTTTTATTCTTCAGGAAACAAAAGGTTGATATGTAATGGTGGTACTTTATGATCTGGTGCTGCAAACTTTGAATGTTTATAAAGTTTAAATATCAGCTACCACCTATCAATATCAGACAAGATTGAAAGCTCTGGACCGACGCCAATATCTTGGATTTTTAACAAATATGATGATATTCTGGCTGATGTATTTTAAGCTGTTTTCATGCGTAACTTAAACTGATGGTTGCACTAATGTTGGACTGCTAAACAGGTCTGAGGTCTTATGTATGCTATTAAAATCAGATTCAAACTGCACTAGGGTCATTCCATGTCAAATCATCCCACTTTCGGACCTCATCGTCATGGATTTTAACGAAACTTGGCATGCTTTGATTTGGTCACATGAGTAACTCATGAAACTGAAATTGGGTGTGTCTGAGATCAATATTGAGGGACATTTAAGCAAACCAAAGTTTTAACTTTTTTTTTTGGGGGGGGGCTATGATTTTGACTGGCTATATTTACCTTAATGTAAGCTTCACAGAAGTGGTCCTTATATTGTTTTAAAACTATTGTCCAGCTCTGTAAATTGACCAAATAATAAATTGTATCAGTTTTTTTTTATAAAAGCTAGATCATAATGTCATGAACATCTCCAGAAAATGTGGTCTTTGGTTTTTATGTTGTCGCTGAGATAGCAGGTAGCGTCACATGCTTTCATATCGCTAATGGGCCTTTTTAATGGCAGCCAAACTGACATGAAACAGTATAACAAGCACAGGTGTCAGTAATAACATTAATTAAGGTTACAAATATGCTACAATGAAATTGAATGGAAGCTTCATTAATGTCATTGCAGACGCCTGTACTTGCCATACTACTGAATAGGCCCACATGGCTAGTAAATATGGCTAATACTGTAAATGCCCTGCATTCATCAGAGGTGAGTGAGGTGTGCAAATCGGTCCAGTGTAAGTGCACAATGAGGGAATCGCTCGACTTTTCAAGCATCATAGGTTATGTTTTGGCTACATATGAGGATAATTGGTTGCTGGGATGTGTTGAAGAAACTATACCCAGCACTCCCACTGGTTTCTTATATGCAGTGTTACTTGAACTTGAAATCTGATCTGATTGTTTGTGCTGATGTACATTTGAAGCTGCACGAGTATTGTTATATATCTAGTATTCTTTTGCGGTTTAATTTTTTTGAAATGGCACTATTTTTGCTATCAGCCCTTTATTCCTGAACTGGAATTGATTATTTTAATTTATTTGGAAAGATTTTTAGATTGCATGCCACTTTGTGCTTTTTTTAGGATCACACTTATTCAACTGTAAATTGAATTTGGAATTATTATACAGTGGATTTCTTGAACTCCAAATATAATTCAAATGAGAAATAAAATGCGACTGGGAACGGCTTGATTTATTACACAAGCAAAATGGGAGCAAGAGGAAATGCAGCACAATAATTGTTTTATCTTGATTATTTTGTTTTGATGAATGTTCCCAGCCCTCGCGTGAGATACATTTTTCCCATTACATCCAGTGAAGTCCATTCAAAAGGAAGTAAGGTTTCTGTCTGGGTGCATTATCAGGTGCTACATCCCCCAGACAGTGAGGCTGATGATGGCACTCAGCCTTTACACGAGACACTGGTCGCACACAAACCAGTGGCTAAAGCTCGGATTCACTCCCAGTTCAGATCGTTGTGTTTTGATGTTTGATATTTTTTTTATCGTTCATTCTTAGTGATACGCTTTTAACTGCAGATCGTGGTACTGTGCCTTAAGAATGGAGAGTTTGAGAAGGCTGAGGACCGACTTCATACATACTTCCCTGAAGGACCGACAGGACGGGTGAGTTTTCTCAGCTGTCTGGTTTCCGTAGCGCAGGCCTTTACTTGCGGCAAGCTCCTTTCTGGTGCCGTCACTTTGCCAGCCGTGCTCACGTTCAGCGGGGTGTGTGGCAGTATTGGTGTGGTGCGCCTCTCTGTAGCTGCTGTGTGTAGCGGGTAGAGAAGCTGATACTTCCCCTTGTGCCATCGGTGTCCCGCAGGGTGGCATCTTCCTCAGACTGGCACAGCAGAGGACCAGCTCACACCATACCCTCGAGAAGGTCACCTTTCAGCAGTTTAGACAAGACATGTTGAAGTTTTCTGCCAGCCTCTTCCCCAGCTCTGAACCCTTCCTCTTCAAGGTAAACCTGTCTGTGCCAAAACCACAGCCGTATACACATTCATTATTAGTCTTTTTTTTTTTTTTTTTTTTTTTTTTATCAAAGTTGTGTGTACTTCCTAATGGATACAAAACATTCAAGTTACATTTGAATTTTTTCACTGCGGTTCATGCAATTTATTTTAATTATTTGGGGAGGGGTTGGGGGCTGCCTAGGATAGAGCAGCAGCCAAGCATCATTTCAGACTGCCTAGTGTGAAGGTTGACCAGCACTGGGTTTTTTCCAGATGGCACGGAAGGTACAGACCTTGAGACCCATGGCGGCGGACGACAAGGTCGCCGAACCGGAAGCGGTTCTGGAACCGGACGGCGTCTCGGTGCGGCCGACGGAGCCGGAGGACAGTGGCACCATAACAGGACCCAGGTGAACATATTGTCTCACATAGGGCTCAGGTCGCTGGTTCCTGGTTCCCGCTGGGATTTGAACCCGACCCTGTAGTGACTCCTGCATCTCCTCCCTCCTTGTGCCGTTCAGCTTCCTGAAGCTCCGCCTCCTGAAGTCTGCCTTCACACAGCTGGCAGCAGAGCAGGGCCTACTTACTACCTTCACCGAGCTGCAGGAGGCGCTAGAGCAGGAGCTGCAAGGGGAGAGCGGCAAGTGTGCGGGCAACACCTCCCCACGGACTCCCGCTCTGCGTGCCCAGCCACCAGGGGGCGCTGGCAGTCCCAGGGAGGCCTCACAGGCGGAGATGCCTGTGCAGGGCCAGCAGAGGCCATACACTGTGTCCAGGCTGGTTATGGAGCCCGACAGTCAGCCCAGCGAGTTGGAGTCCTCCGCCAGCCAGGAGGAGACCTCGGGAGGCCGGGAGGAGCACGTGGCTGATCAGGAGGAGCACGTGGCTGATCAGGAGGAGCACGTGGCTGATCAGGAGGAGCACGTGGCTGATCAGGAGGAGCACGTGGCTAATCAGGAGGAGCACGTGGCTGATCAGGAGGAGCTCGCAGCCAGTCCCCAGAGGAGCCCCCTGACCCGCCACAGGACCTCCAGGAGAGATACATATAACAGGTGAGCCAGAGCCAGCGTCTCCTCAGGAAGATCTGAGGTTTGTCACTGAGATAATTATGGTCCCTGTTCCCTGTGAAGACGTTTCCCCGATGACGACGAGGACAGTTCGGACATGTCGGACGCTCCGGAAGGCCTGGACCAGGACAGGGTTGCGCGGAGCTCGCCGTCCCCAGGGAAACGGTAGCTGTCCCTGGGCCACGCTGACTCTCCCCAGTCATCTCTGCTCCATGACCTTCCTCCTCACGCATTCACGCCTTCTCCCGCAGGTCCAGAGTGCTTTCAGTGGTGAAGGGAGCAAAGGCTGAGTGGAGTGATGAGGAGTCCTTGTTCAATTCGCCGACGAAAGACGGTAACGGAGATGTAGGGGGGGGGGCACGGGCTGCCGTAGCGCCTCCTGTCCGATGAAGACAGCGCTCTTTATCTTTCTTCTGCTCTCTAAGGCTCCAGGGGATGTCTGACTGGCGATGGCTCTGGAGGCCGAACTTTAAAGAAGGTAACAATGATGCTGTGGTCATGTGACATTGGTTGGTTGGGGGGGGGTCTGTCCTGACAGATAGGGACCTCTTCCTGTCATGTTCGTCTTCCGCAGAGGTGGACGGTGGAGGAGAGCGAGTGGCTCAAGACGGGAGTGGCCAAGTACGGCGAAGGGAGCTGGGCCCAGATTCGGAGCAGCTTCCCCTTTGTGGGCCGGACCCCAGTGAATATCAAGGACAGATGGAGGACCATGAAAAAGCTGAAGATGGTGTGATCCTCGAAAGACTAGGAGCCAGACTGAGACTGCCAAGAATGTGGAAACTGGAGCTGCTGGTGATTTAGCTATGGGCTGGGCAGTTTATTGCTTTTTGCATATCACACGTTCATTTGTTGGTGAGGTTGGTGATCCTGACAGCTGAGGGCAGCTTCCAGGTGCTGGGTGAAAGTGAACCCTCCTCCCCCCCTACTGTACTTTGAGAAATGCTGACCTTTAAAAGGTTACTGATGCAGTTTAATAATTTTCTGTAAATAAATATTACTTCATTTAGGTAATAAAAGTAATGTGTTGTGTGTTGATTTCTTCCTTACAGTGATGCATGCCCGTAGGCGGGTGTCCTTACAGTGATGCGTGCCCGTAGGCGGGTGTCCTTACAGTGATGCGTGCCCGTAGGCGGGT